TTTTTTTTTTGGTTTTTTGAGACAGGGTCTCACCTTGTAGTTGAGACTGACCTGGAATTCACTATGTAGCCTGGGCTGGTCTTGAACTCACAGTGATCCACCTGCCTCAGCCTCCCGAGTGCTGGGATTACAGGCATGCGCCACCACACCCGGCTCCTCAGTAATCTTTTTAAATAATGAAAATTACAATGATAAATGATAGAACAGAAAATTTTATGGTGTTATGAGGGCATACAACAGGGAGCAATAACCTAATTAGGAAAATATTCTTAAGTAATGATAGAACTGAAATCTGAAGGTAGTAAGGAAGGGTTGAGAGAGAACATTTCAGGCAGAGGAAATAGCATACAAAAATGCATACTCCTAGGGGAGAGTAAGAATATTTGAAAAACTGAAAGACTATATAATTCTAAAAGAAGAGCGAGAGGATTATGCTGTAAGAGGTGGGGGAAAGTGGTCGTTATGCTGACCTATGAAAGAGACAAGGGCAGTCCACATTAACAAGGCAAGGAGAGGCTTGCAATGTAGCTACAAGGTACAGCATATGCTTAATATGCACAAAATGCTGGATTCAATTCCAACCAGACACCTACACCCAAAATAAAGTTTTTATGAATGACTTTGAGTTTTTAGCTTTTAAACAAGAATTCAGCATAAGTTGTTTTTGAGACATTTGAGTCTGAAATGCACATCCACTAGGCAAGTGGTTATAGTGGGTGGAAGGTCAAAAGAAACAGATACGAATTTGTGTAATATTCAAATGCAAGCATTAACTGAAGGCCTAATCTTGGTAAGACTGCTGAGGAAATAGAATGAAAAGAGAAGAGGGCTTAGCTACAAATCTGTAACTCTCACCATTTGCAAAAAAGGAGTGGATCAATCTGAAAAGGAGAAAAATCCACAAAGCTTTAAGGAAAACCAAGAAAATACTGTATTATGAATGCCAAACAAAAAGAGTGTTTCAAAAAGGAGGAAGTAGTTTGATCCCTGGTGCAAAAAAAAAGGAGGCAATAATAGTCAAATACAGTTAAAAGACCACATAAAATGAGAATCAACCGTCCTTTAGATTTAGTGAAATCAAAGCAAAACATTAATTTATGGAGACAAAACTGTTTGTTTGTTCTTTTAATATAAAATACCAAGTAGGAAATGCAGGGTCAAGAACAAGTTTGGGCCGGGAATTTAGCTCAGTGGCACTGTGCTGCCTCACAAGTGCAAGGTCCTGAGTTCAATCCCTGGCACCAAAACAAAACAAAACAAAAAAAAGAACACGTTTGCTATGTTTTTGATAGAAGATCCTTAACAGTATTTAAAAGCCATTTCTACTTCCAAGAGCAATAGAATAATTAGTGGCAAATCTTTTCTTCAGCAGAAAATATTCAGTAAGCCAGGTAAAATATAGAAATCATCTTTTTTTTTTTTTGGTACCAGGATCAAATTCGGGTCCTTGCTCTTGCAAGGCAGGTGGCGGAACCACTGAGCTAAATCCCCAGCTCTAGAAATCATCTTTTTGAAAACAGTAGAATGTATTGAGGCAAGAACTAGGGACTAAAACTTTAGAGAGGAAGACATTTTCACAAAGATGAACTATCATCTACAGCTGCTTTTATGCTGGATACATCTGCTGATTCTAGGTGTGAGCAAGAGGCTGACATTCCAAGCACTGAAACAGCAGAGGGGCTACTGCTGTGGGATAGGAAAGCAGCAAAATTTTTGCTTTTTAAAAAGATGTATCAGTTCTAAATGTGAAAGGCTAAAAAAATCATTAAAAATAAAATACAGGGCTGGGGATTTAGCTCTGTGGTGCTGCACCTGCTTTGCAAGGACAAGGCCCTGATCTCAAACCCTACTCCCAAAAAAAAAAAAAAAAAAAAAAAAAAAAAGAAAAGATAAAATATTATCTTCATAACCTTGGGGTTTAAGCAGGACACATAGAAAACACTAGCCATAATACTAATAAATTTTGTCCGGGCATGGTGACTCACACCTGTAATCCCAGCACTCGGGAGGCTGAAGCAGGAGGATTGCTGTGAGTTCGAGACCAGCCTGGGCTACATAGTGAGTTCCAGGTCAGTCTCAACTATACAGTGAGACCCTGTCTCAAAAAAACCAAAAAAACTAATAAATTAGACTACGTTAAAAGTCCTGTTTAACAAAAGATACCATAAAGATAGGAAAAAGGCAAGTTACTGAGCAGAAGAGATATGTGATACAAATACATATTCAACAAAGGAAAAGAACATCCATAAATCAATAAAGAAGCAGCAGTTAGGGGCCAGGGATTTAGCTCCTTGGTGCCGCTTCCTGCCTTGTAAGCACAATGACCTGAGTTTGATCCCCAGTACCAAAAAAAAGAAAAGAAAAGAAACAGCATTTAAGTCAATCAAAGGTAAAAGACTTGAGCAGGTACTTTACAACAGAGGCTATAGAAGCCAGGTGTAGTGGCACAGTCTATAATTCCACCTTTCTGGGAGGCTGAGGCAGAAGGATTGTCACAAGTTCAAGGCCAGCCTGAATTCTACAGTGAGAACCTGTCTCAATTTCCCCCCCAAGAAATAAACCAATAAATAATAAAAATAAAAACACATAAAAATGGCTAAAATGCAACAGACAATATATCAAGTTTGGTAAGGATGTAAAACATCCAGAACTACCAAACAGTGCTGGTGGAAGTATAAATGGGTATACTTAAAATCCACTCAACAGAAATAAGCACTTAACTTCAGAGGATGTGTTCAAGCATTAATTTATAATAGTCAAAAGCTGGAAATAATCCCAACATGTACATTAATAGTGGAATAGATTAGGGCCGGGGATTTAGCTCAGGGGTTCCGCCTCCTGCTTTGCAAAGTGGAAGGACCTGAGTTCGGTCCCCAGTACAAAAAAACAAACAAGCAAAACAGTAGAATAGATTAATATATGTAAAATGTGTTATATTCATATGATGGAAAATTTATAACAAACTACTACTAGATACAATATGGATAAATTTCACAAACTTAATGTTCAATAAAAGAAGCAAAATACACACAAAAAATTGCATGCCATATGATTCTATTTATATAAAGCACAAAACAGGCAAAACTAATCTATGGGTTAAGTCCATAATAGTAATTACCACTGGTGTAGTATGATGAGGGGATATTGTAACAACTGGTATCCTGAATGCTGGCAATGTTCTCCAAGGTACTAGTTACACTGTTGAGACACTCTGTGAAAATTCACTGAATTGAACAGGGTCTTTCTCTATAGCACAGCACTATGGAGCCCAGGCTCACTTCAAACTCATGGTGATCTTTCTGCCTCAGCCTCCCAAGTGCTAGGACTACATGTCCAGCCCAAGATTTCTATGTGCATACTATAATATGGTAAGAAGTTTTTATGTTTTTAAAAGCATTAATAGTTGCAACTTAACAGAGGGAAAGACGTAAATGTCAGGATATACATGGTACCAAATCAGAACTCAGCATATATGACACTGTCCTCCACTTTCAAGATAATCACAATACCAACAGAACCTTGATTTGACCATCACAGGGCTTTCCTCCAGCTTCCCATGAAGGACGGTGAAGTCATTACAGGAATCCAACTACCTCTCTTATTGGTTAGCTTAATTCTTAAGACAGATGACCCCTTGTCCAGGAGGTACAACATAAGAATTTCGTGGAAATGCAAGGAATCCAATGTCCTAATAAAGGTTCAAGGCTAGAGAGAAATATACCATTATTGAGCCCAGAGAAGGGAAAATCTGAGTAAGTGCTGCCTTCTCCAGCATGCTGCACTTTATTCCTGAAGCAAGCCAAAACACTGGATTCTCCAATGATGTAGGGAACAAGAAACATGGATACAATTTAAGGCAGTTCCCCTTGAAAGCATTCTTTTTTTTCTTTTCCTCCCATTACTAGGGAACAAACTCAGGACCTTGTGCTTACCAGGCAGGTTCAGCACCACTGAGCTACATCCTAGGCCTCAAGCCATAGCTCCAGCCTTAAAAAAAAAAAAAAAAAAAAAAAAATTTTTTTTTTTTGGTACTAGGGATCGAACTTGGGACCTTGTGCTTGCGAGGCAGGCAGTGGAACCAATGAGCTAAATCCCCAGCCCCTGAAAACAATTCTTATCCTCCATTTAACTGCCACTAACTTAAGGCTCAAAAAAGAGAAAGATTAGAGATCAAGTAACCTCCCTCCATAAGGAATTACTGAGTATCGTAAGAGTAGAAGATTGTACCTTAGTGCATACCTGAAGAAGGAAGGTTTCAAAGTGGAGTCATATCTGCTCCATGCCCAAAATAAAATCAAGCAAGGCAGTAACTGATCAATGGCCTATAAATGAGAGAAATCTAAAAACGAAATAAGCTTGCCCTCTAAGTATTATGACAAAAATAAGGACTGAGTAACATTTAAAGTAGGCCTTGAAGAAGTTAGAATTTTAAGAGTAAGCTAGAAGGACAAGAAGAAGAGTATTCAGATAATGTAGACAAGGCAAATGATATTAACAAAACCAGAATGGAAAGTACAGGTAAGAAATGAGCATTTGAAGCATCTACTGTGCATCAGGCACTGTGCTAGATGCTACTTTTTATATAATTCATGAGGTCAGTTAACTGGTATAGCCTGGATTGAACCTTTGGATCTAATTCCAGAACCAGTTATCTTTCTGCTACATAAGCGAACAGTGCAAGGTAAAGTTGAAAAGGTTAAACTAAGATCAGAGCCCTGAAAACCCTTTATGTATCAGTGAATAAGGACCAAACACATTTTGTTGTGGTAGCATGGTCATAAAAAGGATTAGGATAGGTGACCAATAAACTTACAGAAGAAAGAGAAGATGGGCCAGGGATTTAGTCAGTGGCTCCACTGCCTGCCTTGCAAGCACAAGGTCCCAAGTTTGATCCCCAGTACCAAAAAAAGAGAGAGAAAGAGAAGACAAAGAGACAGACGAGAGATGCAGAATATGTGAGGGATGGATTAAAAATTTAGTACTATAACAATAGGTGATAGACAAATCAACTGGAATGAATGAGAATTATTAATAGAATGTAAAGACAGAGGGCAGAGGAGAGAAACTTGGAGAACACTACACACTCCTAGTAATAACAAAAAGGAGAAACAAAAGAAAATATCCAGAAGTCAAGGAAAGAGGAGAACCGGAAAAGGTACAGGGTGATTCTTCACAGAGGAGATTGAAGAAAAAGGTAAACAAGATAGATAAAAGAAGATCAGGGTAAGTGGCACATAAGGAAGTCAGCAAAAAGGACATGGAAAAATTATTTTAAAAGTCTGAAGAGAAACAGGATGAAAAGAGCTAAAAGAGAAAAACTGTAGTAATGAGCTCTGGGATGGGAAAACAGAAGATGTTTGAAGGTTGAAAGTTACGAAGAGCAGGACTGGAAGAAAACCACAGCACGGAGGAGCTGAGCAAAGTAAGAGACACACCACTTCCTTTGAAGCAAAGGAGAGAGAAAATGGACTATGACAAAAGTGCAGAGCCAGAGACATTCATAGTCATTCCTATTTTTAAAAAGAGGAAAAGAAGAGTAACTTCTCAAAAAGTCCAAGTCATTATCAGACAATAGGACACTAGCACATTCTACATGGCCTGCTCCATGTCCTCATAAACAACATACTCTGTAGGACAGGAATGTGGACTGACCCTTCTTTGTATATGACCACCTTAGACTAGCACAAAAGCCAGCATATAGACAATTTCACTAAATGTTACTGGAAGTGTTAGCAGAAGTAAAATCTGGGATGAATTAATGGCTCATATAGGCTGATATTTCTCCAATAAAAGCACTAACATTAAGGATTACCTCTGGCCAAAGCTAAAAATTTCCACTGACTTTCCTAAAAGCCCCAAAGTGGCTACCCTGAGAAGAGTGCTATCGCCATTACCAATGTCTCAAGAGAACTGTACCATATACTGGCGTCTTCCCCGGCAGGATGACGATAATGAGTTGCAGCCCTGAGTAGGTGTTCTTGAGATGCCGGAACATGGGCTCCACACTGTCTGCTCCCTGTGCATATTTGCAGAAACAAGGCTGGCCCTGGATGGGCATCCCTGCATCCTTGGAAATCTTCCGCAGCTGGTCTGTGAAGTTCCTATAGCACAAGCATGGTCATGACAAAAAGCAGTAAGTCAGTAAGTCCAACTTATTTTTTGTTCATTTTTAATCCATTATGGCTTCCTTCTCCCATCTCCCTCCATCTTTTGATCCCTTTGATACTTCTGACTGAATGTCTCCATCTTAGGTGCTCAGCACAATGAGAGGCACAAAGAGATTCTAATGTGAATGAGACATGATCACAGTTAACATTAAAAAAAGATTTATAAACCAGGTATGGTGGTGTACACCTGTATTCCCAGCCATTCAGAAGGATGAGGAAGAAGTATTACAAATTTGAGGCTAGCCTGAGGAACTCAGTGAGACTGTTTCAAAATTGAAAGCAAAACAAAACAAAAAAAGAGCTGGGGGAGTAGCTCAGTGGCAGAGGGCTTGTTCAGCATGTGCAAATGCCCTGGGTTGTTCCATCCCCAGTAATGGCGGGAGGGGTATAGTTTGGTAAAACAAAACAGGGTTTGCTAATCGTTCAACAGAGAGAACACTGAGGGAGCTGAGGGAGGCCAAAGAGACCTGTCAGCATTCTCAGAACTCCCTTACACTGTCCCATTCAAACAGTTTGTGCTCCATTACATGTCTAAAGAAACAGGCAGACACTTCAGTGTAAGGTCTTTTTGCTCAAAATAAATGCGGTTCCAATCGTTATGGCAATACAGGAGATGCTCAGGAAAAATGAGCTCTGTCCTCCCCTCTTGGTTCTTTGAAGCCTAACAGCCAACTATTAAACAATCTTTCTTCCTTTCTTTGGCTTTAGGACTTCACCCTGGGAAAGGAAGACAAAGTTGGTAGAAAAGGTATGAAGTAGAGTTTTTAAAAATAAAGCTACATAAATAAACTGACTGAAATGAGCCAGGGGCAAGCTAATTTGCAAAAATATTTTCTAGGCCTGAGGATTTAGCTCAGTGGCAGCATACCTGCCATGCAAGAGCAAGGTGCTGAGTTTGACCCCCAAAACTGGAAATAAATAAATAAATAAAACTACAAATATTTTCTCCTTAAATCAAAAGCACTCATCGTGGCTCACACCTCCAATCCCTGCTGCTTAAGAGGAAAATTGAGAGTGTGAGGCTAGCCAGGGAAATTCAGTGAGATTTTTGTCTCAAAATATAATGCAAAAAGGGTTGGGAATGTAGCTCAGTGGTGTAACAATTGCCTAGCATACACAAAGCCCTAGGTATCACCAAAAAACAAACAAACAACAATAACAACAACAAAACCCCAAACTAAACAAACAATAAAACATTCACTGGTAAAACACTAGCCTAGTATGCACAAGGCTCTGGGTTCCAGCACCACAAAAAAGTTAATTCATTAATTAGTATACTAAGCAATAAGGTACAAAGAATAAAAGCAGTTGCTTAGAAGATACTATATAACATATAAATATGAGTTTACTAAGAAAAATATTTTTTCTTAGTGAAATCACAACAAAGGTATGTACAGTATAATGCTATGCAAAATTTAAAACCATTTATACTTCTGTACATGTAGGCATATAAAGTATATAAACTGACAGGAAAGTTATAAAATTCAGCATTGTGACTACATCGGGAGGGAGGAATGGGCCTAGAATAGAGGGTATAAAACAATGTCACCAGTTGTGGTGGTGAATGCCTATAATCCCAGCACTTGCGAGGCTGAGGCAGGAAGACTGGCACAAATTCAAGGCTAGCCTAGGCTATATAGTGAGTTCAAGGCCAGCCTGAACTACATAGATCCTGTCTTAAAACAACAACAACAACAAAACCCAAACAAATAAAAAAGAAAATGTCAATTTTTAAAAATATTTATTTTTTTAAAAATGATAAAATACAACAAATTCTGGCTGATGCAACACAGACATGTTCTATTTTACATGTTCTATCATTTATTATTTTTAATTTCTTTTCAAAATAAATATCAGAATTAAAAAAATATAACCTAGCCGGGCATGGTGGCACAGGCCTATAATCCCAGCACTGGGGAGGCTGAGGCAGGAGGATTGCTGTGAGTTCAAGACCAGCCTGGGTTACATAATGGGTTCCAGGTCAGTCTCAACTATATAGAAGACCCTGTCTCAAAAAACAAAACAAACAAACAAACAAAAAAATATATAATAATATGTAATATATATATATTTAACCTAACCACATTCTCATGTAAATGAGGTAGGGCTCTGATGGACAACTAACAGCATTTCTTTGATTTCTCTGCCTTATACACAACTGTAGTGTAGCTATAAAAATGCTAGGGCGCTACTAGATTTTGTGTTAACAGACACCATTAGTAACAGGTCTCTACTTCAAGGGAAGAGATATTCCCAATCTTCTCTCTACTAGCAAACCACACTGGGGATACTGTTTTCAGTGTTGGGAACCAAAAACTGTTGCGTTTTCTAGGATGGGAATGGTCTTAAGATCTTGACCTAAAAGGAAATCTTGCGCTAAAAATAATATACCTGAGTAATGGAACCTCTTTAGCCAGAAGAAAAATTTTGACAGTTCAAAGAACTTCATTGTCCACCTCTAAATCCAATCTACAACATGCATGTCCCCACGGCTCAGTGAAAAGAATGTTTTACTTTGTGCTCTGTACCCTATCCTTTATACTTAGAGACTTCATTAGGTTTATTTTCCAGTTTCTCTAAATTCTATTTTTAGCTTCTGCTTACTATGCACATTCTCCCCAGACAATGTTATCCACTGCTACTGCTAAAGACTCAGAAATCTTTATTTTCAGCCTACAATCATATATATAACTGGATACAACTGATGAACGGACAAGCTGTATTCTTATCGCCTAGATCCAGCAGTCACTGGGAGAAGGTAATGTCCAATAAAGCAATCCCTGCCAAGTCTGAGATTCTCTGTTTACCAGTTCCTGTATCCCAAAATGGCCGAGATTGCTTAAAAAAAAGGAGGGTCAGGGATTTACTTCAGTGGTTTCATTGCCTGCCTCACAAGCACAAGGTCCTGAGTTCGAGCTCTGGTACCAAAAAAAAAAAAAGAAAGAAAAAAAGGCCAGGCATGGTGACACATCTGTAATCCCAGCACTTGGGAGGCTGAGGCAGGAGGATTACTCCAACTTTGAGGCCAGCCTGGGTTGCATAGTGAGTTCAAGGCCAACCTGAACTATATAGCAAGACTGTGTCTCAAAAAAAAAAAGATGAAAGACATAGGAGTTCAAAAGAAGCACATAAGCAATAGAGGTACCAATGAGATCACCATGGCACAAAGGCAAAGATTTGGGAGCCCTTAGGAGCCCTTCCAATAGTGCTACAGGCCAGCCAAGTGCAGGAACAGCTGAACCTAAATGGGGCTAAATATCCAAAGAACTCAGGAAAAGAGTCCTTGCCAAATAAAAAAACCTATTTAACAGAAACAATAATTGTTAATGGTGGTGGTGTGCATCTGGGAATGACAGGAGTAGAGGAGACGGGAAAGAGCAGGATCTAGAGTTGCTGGATCCATCAGGAGCTGCAAGAATATTTTTTTACAAAAACTCAAAGGCCAACTGAACCACCTGGGCACCGTCTCCATTATTTTCTTCACAATTCAAAGTGGTCAGCTCACTGCTTCTTGTACCCAGAGCACAGACTGATTTCGCTCTACCTCCAGACAGCTACCACTTCAAAAGACAGCAGAAACTATGGAACTGTACATATTAATTGGGTGAGTTTTGTAGCGTCTTTTAGAACAGATCTCAGTAAAACTTTAAAAACAAGTAAGATTGCAGGGGAAAGGATAGGACTTCGTCACTTCCTCATTCACTCACCTGAGTACGCAGATCATTATTCCCCTCCCCAGTTTCTTGAAGCCATTTGATTTTATCACTTTCTCCCAATGGCCATCTACCCACTGCCCTTCAGCCACAATGGTTCTTACAACTTAGCATCATCTAATTCAGGTCACTTGGACTTGACTGAACAAGTTTCATGCACAGAAGAGCACCTAAAAAGGTTGCTCTTTTTTGTTTCCTGTGAGAAATACACATTTTGAAGCTCAGATCTGATTTGCTCCCAACTCTGACACTTTTAGATGATCAAACTTTTGAACTTTCTGAGCCATGGTCTCCCGAAAATGGAAGTATCACCACCTACTCTCTGATGATGAAATGAGAGAACAAAAATTAAATAAGTACAAAGTTGTCAGAAACACAATCTTCACCGTTACTATTTATTACCAGTGATAACAACTGTAACAATAGTTCATGCCTCCCTTAGAATTATGCCCCAAAATCATCATCTCTGATAAGGGCTCTTTACTAAAGTCTCCTGACCACAGATGGACAAAAAAGGACCAGACAGACATCTGAGTCAAAAATGACAAAGCTCAAGGGCAGAAAGCTTAAAGTTCTTGCCTAGCATATGTGAGGTTCTAGGTTTGAACCCCAGCACTGTTTTAAAACAAAGGCAAGACTGGCGGAGTCAAGACAGAGTAAACTGCAGATCACTCTTGACCCCTGGGTGCTGGAGTGAGTAGCATCCCAGGGTTCCTTCCTAGCCTTCCACCCCCACACACAATCCTCCTTACTTGAGCACCTCTTCTCGACACTGTTTTTGTGGTGCGAAGCAGGCGATGGCCCAGACTTTGATCTCAATCCCATTGTAGAACTGTTTCCCTCGCATGTCCCAGACACCTTGGTTGGGTGTGGCAATGGCCCGGTTCTGGAGACAGGCAGAGGGGGCGCCCAGGTGAGCCTCAATAGAGCCAGGTGGGTAGGAAGCCCAAAAGCCCCTAGTTATACCACCCAACCACCCCCTTATTCCCCAGAGATGTTGTCTGGCCCTGACCCTGCTCACCCGGCCGCCGTACTGCAAGATGGGCGCCGGCAGCACTCGCCCTGTCACCTCCGTCATGTCATCCTTCACTTTGATTCCAAATTCTTGGATGTAGGGATCTAGGTTGTAGCTGGCATTCTTCATCTGCAAGGCAAATGAAGGGGATCTCAGGAGGGGAACGGCATGGCCATACTACTCACCCTCTAGGTCCCAAAGAAAGAGCCCTGGAGAGAAGCTGAAGCTGGCAAGAAATAGCCCTAGAAAGGAGTGGGGAGTAGAATGCGAAGGAAGTGGAGTAGATAACACAGTACTTATATAGGAAGGAGGGCTCCTGCCTGGCAAGTGCAAGGTCCTGAGTTCAATTTCCGGTACCAAAAAACAAACAAAACAAAAAAAGTTATATAGAAAGGAAAAAGAAGCAGCAAAGTAGCAAAAGGGTCAATTCATAAGAACAGGCCTATGGTGTCCCAAGAAACAAATCCAGACCTGGGGCTTTAAAGCATCTAATGCTACCAAGGACCCCAATGGCTGAATAAATGAACATGCATTTCTCTGCAGCTCCACTGACCAGGCGGCTGATCTCCTCCTGTCTGTCTGGAGCCGACCTAGCTGTAGCCTTTATCATGGTTGAAGTCTGGTTGTCAGTCAACTTCTTAATGCAGCGCTGCCCAGCTACAATATTACAGACCTGAGGAAATGAGAAAGACAGATAACTTTAGCTTGAGTATCGTCATCCTATAAAGAGACCTTAGCTGTCAATCACAGCGAAGGGGACTACAGAATCCCTTGTGCACACATATAGTCTTCTCTTAAAGTTTTACTTGCTCTATAACCCAGAAAATATCTGTGTGCAGCCGGGTGTAGCAGTGCATTCTATAATCCCAACACTTGGGAGGCTGAGATAGGAGGATCAAAAGTTCAGGGCCAGCATGGACAGTAAGACCCTGTCTCAAAAACAAATAAGCAAGCAAACGAACAAAATATTCATGTACAAAACAAAAGGCAATACTATTTTGTGATTAAGAGCTTGAGATCCCGAGCTAGATCTAGAATCAGGCCTCCTGTGTTAAATGAGGAAAACAGTAACAATCTCACAGATGTATGGAGATTAAATGCAGTATTTAAAGAACTGAACACAGTTTTGAGACATGGTAAATTCTCAATATACTGTCACACAGATAATTTACCCAAGAGCCAAGGATAACTTCTGAAGACAAAAATCTCAAAATCAGATTCCTACAGCAGCTCTCCCATGGTGGCAGGATGTCAGATTCTCCATCCTGCAACCCACCAGGAAGAGCAGAGAAGACTCTAAACTCTCGAGCTCCCAGGCCACAGAAATTATTGTCTCTGTTACCTAATAGCATCCTCTGTTATTGTAAGGAACATCCTGCCACTGAATTCATCTGTCCTGGGACGAACAGAAAACAATGAAGATCAAAAAGAAATGTCTAGTGTTACATAAAACTGCTACTTCCCAGGGCTTGTAGCAGAATAGAGCACCAATAGGTTTTGGAAGATTTGTGTTTGAAGTCTAACTTTACACCTAAGTGATGTTACTTACATGTTACTTATGCACTTAAACATTTTGAGACTCTTTTTTGGTACCAGGGATCGAACTCAGGACCTTGCACTTGCAAGGCAGGCACTGTGCCACTGAGCTAGACTCTTAGTCACTACAAAACTCAGCCACTTATTCTCATACATGGGAAAAAGCACTAGCTTTCTCATGAAATTATTGTGGAAGATTTAGATGCAATAAAATGCATAACTTGCATTTCTCACTTGTTAGCCATAATGCTAACATTCTGTACATTCTGACTCTTGTCCTAATTCCCACAGTTCATACTAAAAAAAAATGAACATCACCCTGATTTTAAATTCCACATTCCAAAGAGTACACAAAATAGTCAATTCAGGCCGGGGATTGAGCCCAGTGGTTCTGCTGCCTGCTATGCAAGTGCAAGGTCCTGAGTTCGATGCCTGGTACCAAAAACAAAACAAAACAAAAAAAACTTGTACTTACAAAATAGTCAATTCATTTAGTGAACATCCACAATTGTTGAAATTTATAAAGTTGGGACTGGGGATTTAGCTCAGTGGTCCCACTGCCTGCCTCACAAGCACAAAGGCCTGAGTTCAATCCCTAGTACCAAAAAGAAATTTATAAAGTTGCTCTCTTAAAAGCATTAAAGTTGTAGCATTCCTTATAGATGGTCACAGCTACATAATTAACACTTCCAAACTATTAAAGCAGGGATGTGATGAAATTGGAACTCTTCTGCACTATTATGGAAATTCAAAGTAGGGGAGCCACTGTGAAAAATTATATGCTAAGTCTTCAAAAAAACATAGAAACTGGGTATGGCAGCCCAAACCTGTAATCTCAGCACTCTGGGAGGCTGGGGCAGGAGAATCACAAGTTCAAGCCCAGCCAGGGCAACTAGCAACTTAGCAAGACTCTCTCTCAAAATAAAAAAGGGCTGAGGACATAGCTCAGTGTGAAGGCACTGGGTTCAAGCTTAAAGACTGGAAAAAATAAACCTGTAGTTCTACTTCCAGATACGTACTCATAATAAGTGAAACTAGGACTTGACCAGATTTCTTGTGTTGTTGGTGGTAGTGGAGGTGGTGGGGTTTTTTCTTTTGTTTTGTTTTTTTGGTACCAGGGATCAAACACAGGCCCTTGAGCTCGAGAGGCAGGTGGTGGAACCACTGAGCCAAATCCCCAGCCCTTTGTTTTGTTTTTTTCATGGTAGTGAAAATGTAAAAAAAATTACTGAAAGTGGTGAAGAAATATACTCTTGGGGCAGGGATTTAGCTCAACGGCACCATGCCTGCCTCCTAAGTGCAAGGTCCTGCATTTGATCTCCAGCACCAAAACAAACATACGGAAAGAAATACACTCTATAGGGCAAGTATGGGCTGGTGAACAGGCTCACAGTGGCTGAATAGGTTTTTGGGTTTTGTTTTGTTTTGGCGGGGTGTGGAGTCAGGATCCCACTTACATAGTTGAGACTGCTCTTGAACTTTGTAGCCCAGGCTGGTATGTAGCCATTTAAACTTGTAGAGAGCCTCCTGCCTCAGTCTTCCAAGTGCCAGGATTACAAATACATACCACCTATTTATTTATTTATTTATTTTTATAGTACTGGGAATTGAATATATAGGGCCCAGTACATACAAGGCAAGCACTCTGAGCTACATTCCCTTGACTCTTGAACAGGTATTTGTACACCTTTGTTCAGAGCCAACAGGTAGAAGTAATTCAAGTATCAGACAATAAATGAATGAAACAAAATGTGCTATATACTTTACAAAGGAATACTATTTAGCCCTAAAGAAGAAGGAAAGTAATGTATTACAACATGGATAAACATTGAAGGCATTACGCTAAGTGAAATAAGCCAGTCAGAAAAGGAAATGGTGGTGCACACCTATAATCCCACCTACTCATGAGGCTGAGACAGGAGGATCACAAATTGGAGGCCAGCCTAGGTAATCCACTGATACCCTATCTCAAAGACAAATATATGATTCCACTTATACGAGGTACTTAGGAGTAGTCAAATTCAGAGAGACAGAAAGTATATTGTTGGTTGCCAGGGCTAAGGGGAGGGGACAATGGAGAATTGTTATTTAATGAGTGTAGTTTCAGTTTAGAATTATAAAAAATATTTGTAGATGTATACTGGTAACAGCTGTATAACACCATAAATGTACTCAATGCCAAAGAACTCTACACTTAACAATGAAAATGGTAATTTTTATGTTATGTATATAACATTTTCATCCACAATATGATAGATGTTTTGTTTTTTTTGTTTTGTTTTTTTGCTACTGAGGGTCGAACTCGGCTCCTTGCATTTGCGAGGCAGGCGGCAGAACCACTGAGCTAAATCCCCAGCCCTCATCCACAATATGAGAAAGACTACACTCTATGATTTATACCGAGTAACATTTTGGCCATTCTTTTTTTTTTTTTTTTGGCACTGGTGACCAAACTCAGGTCCTTGCACTTGCAAGGCAGGCGCCAGAACCACTGAGCTAAATCCCTGGCCCTTTGGCCATTCTTTTAGGATCGTGATACACAATGTATTAACTATTGTTATCCTTTAATTATTTTGTTAAGGAACTTTGTTTTTTTATGAAAGAAGAATGCTTTTTATATTTTCTTTATTAATATCTACTTGTATTACATTAAAATAAAAAAGGAAAATATTAAAGCAGAAAGAAATTGTGATTTGAACATAAATAAATGATTTTGCTGACACTCTCATTGGCCTGCATAACTATTTAAGAAAGATATAGGGCCAGGGATTTAGCTCAGTGGTGCTGCTGCCTGCTTTGCAAGCACAAGGTACAGAGTCTGATCCCTGGTACAAAAAAAAAAAAAAAAAAGAGAGAGAGAGAATGATAAAGATCTGGATTGGAGGCACTGCCTAGCTTCTAGCTGTGAAGGTTCAAATAATCTGTGTTCTTCTTTGACTTGAAATCTTTCAATGGATTCCTATTATAATTAGAATAGAGTCCCAGATGACCTGAAATTTGAACTCTCTTGCATGGACGACAGGATTGTAGAAGGGCATACAGTAGCTACTTTGGGAGGTCTGGCAACTCCTTAAGATGTTAAACAGAGTTATATATATATAACTTATATATATATATATATATATATAAAACCAATAGAGAAATGAAATCATGTGTTCTCACAAAAATGTATACTGAATATTCAAAGCAGCAGTAAGAGCCAAAAGGTGGAAACAACCCAAAAGTCCATCAATTGATAGATGGAAAAGCAAACATGTAATACTGTACACCCATGCAATGCAAGAACACAGGTGACTCTTGAAAAAAAAAATGAATGAACCTTGAAAACAATTATACTGTGTGAAAGAAGTCAGTCACGAAAAGGCACAGATTGTATGATTCTGCTTATATGATATGCCCAAAATAAGCAAATCTGCAGAAACAGAAAACAGATTAGTGTTTACCAGCTGTTTGGTTTTTTATTTTTTTTGGAGACAGGGTCTCCCTATGTAATTTTGATTGGCCTTGAACTCACTATGTAATCCAAGCTGGCCTTGAACTTGTGGCATTCCTCAGCCTTCAAGCGCTGGGACTACAGGCGTGCATCACCATGCCCAGCGTTGTCACTTAGGGGTGACGAAAATGTTCTGGAGCCTGACAGTGGTAATGACAGCTGCATAACTACGCGAATACACCAAAAACCACCAAATTGTACATTTTAGGAGGATAAATTTTTTTAAAGTATGTTAATTTTATACTGATAAAAGTTATTCTAAAAACAAAAACAAAAATCCTGCCTGGCCACAATTTCCTACATCTCTCTCCAGCATCACCTACTACTTCTTTTCCTCCCACACAATACATTCCAGCTACTGTGGACTTGTGTCCACCCTGGAAAATATCCAAACTTCATCCTGCTTTAGAACCTTTGTACTTGCTCTTCCTCCTGCCTGGAAAACTCTTAGCTCAGGTCTCCTTAAAAGAGGCTTTCCCTAACAACAAAAACTAAAGTAGTACCCAACCCCCTTATACTCTTTATTTCTGTCCCTTAATCTGTTTTAGTATTTTTGCAGTACTTACTATCATTTGAAACTATCTTACATTTTTATCAATTTATTGTGTCTTCCCCTTGAAGGATATATGTTCCATGACAGAAGGGACACTGTCTGTCTCGTTATTCTTTATATTCCTAGTATCTAAAAGAGTAGGAGCGTAATAAATAAGTGCTAAATAACAATTTAAAAACCCAAGAAATAAGTCATGACATAAATTATTCATCTTGAAAACTAATTTTTAAACAGAAATAATTTGCTGGTAAATCTCAGCTTGTAGAACATATCAGCTTAGCCAGGATTGTCCCTAAAGACCTCTGTTTATACCTCAAAGAACACATTGCCTTCATCCCACTTTGTGTGCATCAGCAGCTATTAACCAAGTCAGAGTTCTTAGTTTTGGGGATCTCCTCTCCCTTCAGCCTCATTTCTTTGGAATAGGTCTGGAATCTTAGTAGCTCACAGAAGGCTTGAGCCTTGGTCTCAGCTATCTGACTCTTGTTGCTGGAACAAAGAGGGAAGTCTAGGTTAGTTGCTTCTCCAACTTTAATGTTTGAATCCCCTTTGGGTCTTGTTGAAAGACAGTCTGACTCAATAGGTATGGGTAGAGATTCAGTTTTTTAAACAAGTTCCCAGGTGATGCACACCCTGTTGGTATGCTAACACACTTTTTGAGTAACACTCAGCATACGTTTTTCATTAGACATTTTGCCTAGCATATACCAAACCAAATACAGCCCAGGGATTCTGTATATATATTCTATGACTGAAATAACATTATTATTTGTTCTTTAATTGCAGAATTTCAGTGCTCGCTTCGGCAGCACATATATTTTAATTGCAGGATTTCAAAGCTATTCTACTGAAGCACAGAATCTTCAAAGTATAGACAAATCTTGAGGGCTAAATTTTTTTCCCAAACAGCATTAACCACTGGGGAAACACAAATTACATTGTAGGTAATATTCATCTCCATTTCTTCTAAAATAAGGTACATTTATATCTATAGATCAAATAGGATTCTGAATTCAACAGCAGGAAAAAAAATTAAGAGAACATGAATGCGAGTATTTGACATCTCTGTCCTGAATGAATTATTTATTAAATAGTAAATATATCTTACCCTTCGGCCTAGCAGCCCTGGAAGAACTTAAGAATAGGACTAGGGAGAGGAAAAGAATTCAGCATTTAAGAGTGAGACCTACAGCCTGGGAATTTAGCTCAGTGGTACCACACCTGCCTCACAAGCATAAGGTCCTGAGTTCGATCACCGGTATAAACAGAACAAAAAAAACCCCTATAGCTCACAGGACAACTACCTCAGACCTTCTCAGAATGTCCATTTTCCAAACGTCAAAATGAGTATGAGAGACTACAAATGAATCAACAGACCTCTGATGATCAGTGTCCTGGTACAATGCCTGTTTCCCAGCCCAGCCATACTTGGCAGCCTCACCTCTAGAGGCAGGTAGGTATGCTTTTGTTCCTGGCCAACTTGGAGGCAGGGAAGGTGGGGATACTTGAGCTGAAGGTTATATTTCTGCTTGAAATATTGTGCCACTGTGCACTCCACAGTCTGTCCACTCTCCAGCTGTAAAGGAAACCTATTTGGAGGAAAAGAAGATGTCGTAATCCAGCATTAATCCTACCTCTGCATCCTACAACCATGAAAAGCCTCACACCTTTGTTTTATCCTACCCAACCTCTTTGAGCACGGCCACTCATGAGAAAGCGGGCAATACAGAGAGCTCCAAAGCAGAAGCCAATGATTTGACTGGCAAGTTATGCCACTGTCAGGACCATATCAGACTTACATACATTTCTAATGTTAAGCACAAAGCCTGATAAAAAAATAGGTATTCATAGTCCAGCATAGCCTGCAGCCAAGAAGGAGGAAGGAATTAGCAACAGTTTTCCCACAAGTAGGCCCAGGAAGTTGGCTTTTTTTCAGGAGGAAGAATAAATTCAAAGATTCTAATGTTTACAGAACTATAACAAGAATCAGTAGAACATGCCTGCTCAACAGAAAAGTCCCAGGGAAGAAAGAAGATCATACAAGATAAACCTACAGACAATCAATGGATATGGGGAGGTTGAGGGAAGAAACGCAAAATTCCAACAGCTTATCTTTAAAAACAGGGCCAGCCCAAGGCTCACTCTCCGGGCCAGTGGGAGAAAGTGGTCAGGGGAACTGTGTTGCAAATCTCAGCCCTCTTCCACCAATGGAGTATGGCTCAGCAACCCTGTCAACTTACGTCTGATGGCTAGCAGGGCGGCGGGTAACATTACACACGCGGTATTTCCTCTTCATCTGTCCACAGTGAGTCACTTCCACCTTCAGGCCTGAGATACACACACTACTTGTCAGGGTTGGAATAAGTTGCTCATGTGCCCAGGTTTGGCCTCTCCCAAGGGGATTTCCTCTTAGGACTAAAGAGAAAGCAGCACTGTTTTCCCTTCCCACCTGGTTAGGTCCTCACCCTTGATCTCCTTGGTAAAGCGAACACGCTGGGAGTCCGTGAGAGGCTTGGGCTGTTCATCGATGTTCCTGATGTCCAGAACCTCACACATGAACTCAATCACTGGCTGTGCCTTGTAGAAGGCAGTGGCTGAGACTGTGGGGACAGGGTAGGGACAACTCAGCTCAGGTTCTGTCTTTCAGAATAAATGGAGGCATTACAATTTATACCCTTTTTCTTGTAGAGGACTGGGATGAGGGAGATGGGGTGCCAGGAATTAGACCAGGAGTGTGGTTGCAGAGCTGGGAGGGGCGAGGCTGGGAGTGTGGCCACTGGATTTGGGGTGCCCCTGGCTCCATGGCTCTCCCCACTCACCATCAATGTTGAGCATCATCTTCCACATGGCAGGGCGCACAGACTGGTGAAAGCCGAACCAGACCTCGCGCCCACCCCCCAGCGGGTGGTAGTAGCCCTCAGGCGGTGAGAAGAAGGAGCGGCCCACAGGGGTGTACCTGGCAGGGACAGGCAGAGAACTGGTCCCTCGGGCACAGGCCCCCACCCTGTGAGGCATCCTGGGCACGGAGGAGCCCTGGCCTGGAAGGCAGGACACCAGGGCTTTAATGCCAGCTCTGACCCTTTACTGGTTGTATGACTGACCTTGTGCAAGTCTCTACCTTTTCTCTGTAGGCACAGATGGGGTAAGGCCAAAAGACATCTAAGGACAGGGCCAAGGCTTTATACCGTCTAAATGCATATGCGTACTTGCCTACCATATGGTAGGGCTTCAAAAAAATTATTTTTGCAATGGCACACTGTGGGGGACCTTAATATGTGTGCACTCTCCTCCTCCCCCCACAACAGTTCTGCCAATACTAGTATCCCAGATACTACTAACTACACCCAGTACCTCATGGATGCCAGGTGCCTCATGGCCACATCCAGGGCTTGCACAGACTCCAGGGGAACAGGGATCTGGCCACTGACCAGGGCCTCATGCAACATGCGCCAGCTCACAATAGCTAGCCACTTGATGGAGACCTTAAAAATTCGATCCTTCCCCTCCCCAGGGATTGTCACCTCGAAGTCGACCTTCAGGAAGATAAGAGAAATACAAGATTGCCATCACTTTTCCAGAGACCAGTATTCCCTGCCCCAAATGCCTCCCCAACCCATGAACTTGCCAACAACCAGGTCCTTAAAATCTATGGGGCTCACAATAAAGACCCAAGAGTAAATCCAGCCCTTCAGTTTCTAGTTACTTTGGATCAGTTTCTGTGCCTCACACCCTAGTAGAAAGTTTTTCAGATCTGTTTTATGGCTAATCTCAGTCTATTTAGGGGGACAGACACACAATAGGCTAAATAAACATCAGCATTTACCCACCTCTAATCCTAAAACATACTTTCTCAGCACAAAAGACAAAAAGGATTTCTGGAATAATAGACTCCAGAGGGGCTAACAGGAGCTCTGCTTCATTACAGACCCCTGACACAGGCCTAGCCTGACTCCCAACCTTACCCGCTCATTGCCAATGGGCAGTGCGGTGACAGTGTAAATGTTCTTCTTTCCATCATACACGGGCTTGCGATCACCAAAGATCTGAGGCTTGAAATGCTGGACCATGTATTCCACCACTTCCCTGTGGAGGATAGGAGACTGGCTTATAAAAGCTGAGAGACTATCACTGCAAGGTTTTAAAAGTAATTCGGTGTCCAGGAAATGTCCCATCTACTATAGTCACTCCTAACATCTACTCTATGGCAGTGTGTCTCAAACTTCAACATTCCTATAAATCACCTGGTGGTTGTATTGAAATGCTACTTCTGATTCAGCAGGTCTAGAGTGCAGCCTAAAATTTTGCATTTCTAACACGCTTCCTGGTCTTAATTCAGATGTTGGATCAGATGCTGCTGGTCCTAAGATCATCAAAGTTCTAAGGGACCTGCAATATTGGGTGTGAATGCCTCCCTAGCAAAGGGGAATCTGAAGGGAACAGGTTTGATTCTAGGGTCTTTCCAGAACCCAGAGTGCTCCACTCTCCAATCCCCAATCTGATAAGCAAAAAAGGTACAAAAGGAAGAGATCTGAGCTGGAATATGAACAAACTGTAGGAAAAAATCTCATTTCTCTAAAGCCCTTACTTAGTCCCACCACCGTACTTTCTGTACAATATCATCTCTTTCTTGATTTCACTTCTTGTCCTCTGCTGCTCAGATCCAGAGTGTCTATGCTTCTTTCAAAATCCCAGCCCATCCAACCATCTGAGCTACCCACTTTCTAAACCAAAGCTCTTTTTTTTTGTACCAGGGATCGAACTTGGGTCCTTGTGCTTGTGAGGCAGGCAGCAGAACCACTGAGCTAAATCCCCCACCCTAAACCAAAGCTCTTGGGTGCTACAGTACAGAACACAATGAAAATGGTACATTAGGGATGGGTGTGGTGGCACAAGACTATAATCCCAGTGATTCAGGAGGTTGAGGTCAGAGGATCACAAATTCTAGGCCAGCCTGAGCAACGCAGTGAAACTTTGTTTTAAAATAAAAAATGTTTTAAGTGCAGGGCATGAAACTCAGTGGTAAAATGCTTGCCTAACAAGCACAAGGCTCTGGGTTCATCCCCAATATCATCCAAAAAAAAGGTACATTAGGAGCAACTGTAAGTGTATACATGGTTTCAATCCCAATTAGGCCCAGTACTACCCCGCAATCTTTTTCATGTCTCTGATTACTCTGTTCCCTCACTCCAGAACCCACTCCTGCCTTCTAACAAAAAGCAGCTCTAGGGCTAGGGATTTAGCTCAGTGGTTCCACTGCCTGCCTCACAAGTACAAGGACACAAGTTTGATCCCTGGTACCCCTCAAAAAAAGCAGCTCTAGTATCTCCGAAAGAGCAGATAATAGCAGGCAAGGCCATCCTTGAGTTTCAGGACATACGCATAAACATATTTATGGGCCTGGAATTTGGCTCAGTGGTGCCACCTGCCTTGCAAGCTCAAGGGCTGAGTTTGACCCCTGGTACCAAAACAAATCAAAACAAAACCATATTTGTACACACACACATCTTTCCCTCCTCCTTTCTTCTCCCATTTGCAATGCCCCTTCTGTACATTTTGTTTTGGGGGTACCAGGGATCAAACTCAGAAACTTGCGTTTGTGATGCTAGCAGGTGACAGAACCACTGAGCTAAATCCCCAACCCCATTCTGTACATTTTTTTAAACATATAAAAATATATTCAACATCATTAGGGAAATACAATTTTAAATTAGACCAAATTATATTTATCTACTATCAAAATGCAAAAAAAAAAAAAAACCTGATGGCAGTATAAGGAACAAGGACCATGATACTTTGCTGATGGGACAAAAACTGACAGTATCTTAATACTTTAAAAATGTATTATGCTACGGCTGGGGATTTAGCTCAGTGGTTCTGCTGCCAGCCTTGCAAGCACAAGGACCCGAGTTCGATACCCGGTGCCAAAAAAAAAAAAAAAAGTATTATGCTAATAATTCTACTCCAAGGAATTTACCCTGCAGATATACTCATACTTGAGTGTAACTATATATGTATGTATAATATTCAACAGCTTCATTTCTATAGCAGTTTAGAATCAACCTAAATTTTCCTCAATAGATTTAAGAAATAAATTAAATGCAGCCATTCAATGGAATACCTAGGGAGTTAGGAGGCAGGCTAGGGTTGTAGCACAGTGGCAGAGCAAGGTCCTGGGTTCAATCTTTAGCACCACAAAAAAATAACAGTAATAATAAATTAATGGAAAAGAAAAAGGCAGACCCTACAGTACTGATATGTACTATTTTCCAAAATATATGGTTTAGTAGAAAAATGCAAGATATAGAACAGGGTATAAAAGACCCATGAGCTGGGGATGTAGCTCAGTAGCACCATATCTGCCTAGCAAACAAAAGGTCCTGAGTTCAGTTCCTAGTATCAGAAAAAAATTAAATTTTAAAAAGACCCAGATTTTATGTCTTAAAAATATTATATATGCATATATGCTCACATATGCACAAAAAATATCTGGAAACATACTCAAGAATGATAAATTAATGTCTCTGGGGACTAGGGTAATAAGAGACATTTTTCACTACTGTTCTTTTTGAAATTCTTGTATTTTTTTATATTGTGCATGTGATTTTCAAATAATAAATTAATTTTAGAAATATTACTTCTTCTAAGTCTAATTCCTCCAACTGTGCATTCTGCAATATTCTCCTGCCTCAGCAAGTATATCTCACTCTTATTCAGTCTTTCTCTAACCTGTACCTTTTAACCTTTCCTTCCTTACAATTTCTATCACCTAAATCTATAAACATACCTGTGTCTCACAGCTCTTCATTCATTCATTTCAACAATTCCTGAAATGTGTTAGGTACTACAGTTGGTCCATATGATCCTCTCTAGCCAACATATTCTATTTTTCTTTTCACTGCCAAGCTATTTGGAAAAAGCGACCTGCTCTCATTATTCCTACAATTACCTTCCACTTATTCCTTTACCCTCCATAGTTAGATTATCTAGCCCAACTAATCTACTGAAATTTCTCTGGCAAAAGTCACCAATTACCTCCCATAGACATTTACTGTACCTTGCCTGGCATCTCCTCCTCAAAAGTTTTCTCAGTTTGGTTTTCACAGTCTCTACTGATTTCTCTTTACATTTCTGGCTTCTCTTTCAGAAGACTCAGGAAAGTGAAGTCTCTTGGACTTGGCGGCATATATGTGCATCACTTACCGGTTGACTCGACGGGGACACTTATCCGGCTTGATGTCCACCTCGTAGTGGTAGACGTCGATCTTAGGAATGTCCACCTCAAAGTAATTGGCCAGGAGCTTGATAGGTTTCCCCACAGTGCCAATACCAGGCCGACGAGGTGCCTGGAACACCTGCTGCAGGGGGGGCAGATAGGGGCCCGCAGCTATAAGACAAAGAGGCCAATGAGAACAGAGTCCAGCAAGCTCCTAACTACTCAGATGAGAGAAGGCACAAGGCCCCCAGAACAGCAACAAGAGAATATAGAGGAAGTCTCTTTCCTCTTCCCAACCCAGCTGAGGACTTTCACTAGCTCAGACAATCCCAGGCTTATGCATTTTGAGGGTTTGTTTTTGTTTTTAAACCTCTCTTCAGCCAGAAAGTGCCTATCTTAAATTTAAATTCAGGTAAACAGTAAGTTCTTATTACATGTTAAGTGAAGGACTAAATCTGGCTTTCAGTAACAAAAACCTTTCTTCCTTCTACTAGATTAAGACACCTATATGAACCAGGTATCTGGCAGAAAGTGTTCTACTCTCTGCCAGCTGGATGCTCACTTCACTCATCACTATCTTGAACACAAAACAGCCATCATCTTGATATCCCTCTGCAATGCATACAGAAGGGAGACCCAGGGAGGGCCCAGTTGGAGCCAGGCAGAGTGGCACATGCCGGCCTGTAATCCCAGCACTCTGGGGAGGGTGAGGCAGGAGGACAGCGAGTTAAGAGCCCAGCCTAGGATACTTAGTGATTTAGTGAGATCCTGTCTCAAAAAATAAAAAATAAAAAAAGGTTGGAGATGTAGCTCAGTATAAAGGCCTGGGGTTCAATCCCCAGTACCACAGGGTGTAAATAAAGGTCAGGTTGGGAGAATAGAAGCAATGTTTGAAACAATTAAGGCCAATGAATGACTAGAGTTGTAGAAGATGCCAAAAGGATAATGTTTGTAGACTAGGGAGAGAGGTTGAAATAAGGGGCAAGAGCAGAGGGCAGAAATAAAAATTATAACAGAAAAGGGCTTGAATTGGCCAAGGAGAGGAGAAGAGACTTGAACTAAAGAGCAGGGCAAGACAGGTTAGAGTTGGGCAACAGGGCTGAAAGAAAAAAAGCTGTAACTGAAAAGACAATGTAGAAAAGGCTTGAATGAATAAAGAGCTAGGGGCCTTGGGAAAGACAGCAATGAGAACGCCAGAGAAGAAGAGACACTGGCTCTGGGAAAGAGAATACAAGATTCTTTCCGAGCCCCACAAATCCTCCCATTGAGGGTCCGGACTACAAGAGGGATCAATTTCAAGACACAGGAGAGCCCTTGGGAGAGGAGTAGGGCAGGGTTGCTGCCCTCAGGCTTTATTTTCTAGTTTAGTGGGGAAAGAGGAAAAAGGGAAACAGCCTAAGAGAAGCCTTTGTCAGCTACTATTGTTCTTGCCTGAAGAGGACCAGCCCAGGTGGGAGGAGAAAAGGATAAAACAGCCAAAGACCTCCACTGCCAGAGTTCTGCTTACACAGTCAGAAAGACTAGGGGGTGGGGCAAATCTTCAACTGGGGGTCAGGAAGAGGTCAGAACCATTTGAGGGAGGGGCACACCTCCCAGATATAAACTGCTCCATCTCGCTGTAACCACCTGTCAAGTCCAGCCCCACTCTGCAGACAAGGGAATGAAGGCCCAGGTTGGAAGGAGAAGGTCTTCAGAACTCAGCTATACGGGGAGTAATTCACACCTGGCCACTTATCCCAGAAAGAGCTAGACAGAAATTTCACACAAGGTCAAAGACAAGACATAAACACACATTCCTCTCACATATATCCAAACACAACCTAGACCTTGACAGTTTTCCTTACCCAGATCCCTCACTGTCCTCAGCTAGGTTCTTCAAAGGCAGGGCCAGGGATTTAGCTCAGTGGTTCCACAACCTGCCTTGCAAGTGCAAGGACCCGAGTTCAAAGCCCGGATACCAAAAATTAGGTTCTTCAAAGGCAAAGACCGTACCTGCCCTGGTCACTGCTGAATCTCCAGTGCCTAGCACACACAGAGATACTCAGTACACAGATATGAAACGAATGAACAAACATATCCATAGGCACACCACTAGAACACACAAACACATGAACACCCGCAACTGCCCAGAAACCATCATACACCCGGCATAAGACATGCACCCTTATGGGTGTAGGTAGTAAAAGACACCTTTCTTTCTCCTCCCCAAGTTCTGAGATTCCATTCATCTCTTTAGCCTCCCAGGCTGAACAGTCATGAGGGGTCTTGGAAAAAAGACATCCCCTAGAGCCAGTCGCTGGGTAGCAATGATGGGGGATGGGAGAAACAGTAGCCGCAAAGCCTTCTCTTTCTTAGAAATAGGACAACACTCCACACTCAGCCTTTGGAGCATCATCCTCTCCAAGGAGGCTTTGACAAGACAGGGGAGCCTACATCACTACTTCATCCTCAAACTAAAGAAGGCAGGAGGAAAAATCTCCGTTCTAGCCCCCAGAAAGCTTCCCAGCTGTACAAAGTACCCCCCTTTCCAGCCCCACCCAGCCCCGAGCTTTTAGTCTGAGAAAAGGGAGACACTTCCCTTCAGACCCAGACAGGGACAGACGGCCACTTTGTGATGCAGATGAGGGCCCCAGCACAGAGGACAAAGCTCTGGCCTAGGGGGAAGGGGAGGGGCCCTTCCCTTCAGACAAAAGCAGGAGGGAGGGGCCCTGAATAGGACACTCCCCCTCCCCCATCTCTAACCAGTTGGGAAAAGGAAAAGTAACAGCCCTGGCTCAGGATTCCTTCCCTGCAGTTCTGAGGCCCACTTATCTCCCAAGGAGCCATAATGCCTATTCAAAAGACTTGAACCTAAGGGCTAGGTTAGGTGGTGGGTAAGCAAGGACTACAGGCCAATCCTTCCAAAATGGGCCTTGCCTACAAATTATTAAATATTTGCATGAGTATACACAAATTATTAAATATGCACATATGAGCTTAATTAACCATATGTTGAGACTTGAATGTGGTTTGATTCAATTAACAAACGTGTTTTGGGTCAGGCCCTAATACACAAGGCAAATTGCGATTCCTCAAACACAATATATCAAATACTATTTCTACCTTCAGGGAGCTCCTAATTCAGCATGTCTCCTTGGAACACACCTGTGCAGAAAAGATACACCTGGACATAAGCAACAATGCCTTAGTTTTGCATACTGTCTTTGGGCCTCCTCAGGACACCAATTCTAAGGGAAAAGTAGTCCAGGCACAAGAAGGAGGCAGTATGAAGTCTCTTCATCAGCAGCTTCCAGAATGAATTTTAATTACATACTTTGATGAGACAAAGTATGTCCCTCTAGGCTTTTCCTAAAGCTACCGCTAACTCCAGACACCAGACTCCAGTGCCTCCGCTAGAAGCTTATTTCTTGTAACAAACAAAAAAGTCATTTTTTTTTTATCACTCCAGAACCCATTAGGAGTTTATCAGGGTAGTATCACTAGTCTGGAATGGGTACCATCTCTCAGCAATCAATCTGAACTTCAATGACCTACCTACCCACTCTATTCTAGTCTACAGGTTATTGGAAATCATCTCAAGCCCAGAAAACTGAGTTCCCAAGATGGAGAGAAGGAGAAAGTAGCTGGCACTGAAGTCAGATGATCCATGCAATCCACCTCAGGATCTGCACAGCTTCTACAGGGTTTTTTTGTTTTAGTTTTTTTGTACTCTGGAAACTGATCCCAGAACATTTGCACTGAGCTACACCTCCAACCCTTTTTTTATTTTGAGACAGGGTCTCACTAAGTCATCCAAGCTAGATTCAAACTTCTGATCCTGCTGCTTCAGTCTCCCAAAGTGCCGTGATTGCAGGTGTGTGCCCCTAACGCCTGCTACAAGGTTATTTTTGTTTGGGGGAAATGGTCACTCAGTACTTAAAAATCACCTACTGAAAGGCTTGAAATTTGTTAGGAGCCATTCTTGTGGGGGAAGGTATTAGGTCTGATCAGGAAGACAAAGATTCTTCAATCACAAAAGTAATGAAATTCACGTCCCAAACAGAAATCCTATTCCTGTGCCCAGACTGAATGGAATAAGGTGGTAAGAAGTGACCAAAAGGATTCCTGAATCCACGATGCTCCATCAATCACAGGGTAAGAGATTTGGATATAAGGGGTACTACCAGCCCACAGCCCATCCTGAGGACTCAGTCTTTGGGCAGCCCTGCTTCAGTTTCTCCTGTTCTTAGAGCTCCTTTCCTCCTTACTACCTGTGAATAAAAAGATAAACCTATTACCTGTAACTCACCCGAGCCAGTGCTAGACGCGCCCCCCTCCCCAGCTTGTTTATATCAGGTAAACTAGCTTGGCAACCTTGGCTCTAATGACATGCCCTTTACAGTTTCTGGGGAGTAAAGATGAAAACGGAAAGATATCCACTGGGAGACAGGAGCCATAAAAAAAATAAAGATATAAAAAGAGATTCGATTGTAACTTCAAGAAACAATTCAAAGAAAAAGTCAGTGTCCTTGGATTAAAAGCTTCTATCTCTACTCAGTACTGGACCAGAAACTTGCCAACCAGATAGAGTTGGGTCTTGTCCTTGGTTCCTCAGTAACCAACACCTTTTTCTAAGGCCTCTCTTTAGGGAGTACCCGCCCCCAAAACATGGCTTCTGTCCCAGTCTCTTCTCCTGTGGCAGAAAAAGACACTTTGGCAATTTCCCTCAACCCATTCTTGGCAAATTGTAACTGAGTGGCTTCGGAATCCAGTGTAAAACCCCCCAAGTCGGATAAGGGGGCGACTTACACCTGGGCTCGGCCAGGATAACCTCACACAGAATGCACCCCATCAGGTCGCTCCATTTTCCAAGCCCAAATGGGGCGGGGGAGGGACCGGGGTATTCAGGCAGCCACGCCCCCACCTCGTCGGGCAGCCCCTTCCAGCTTCCACCTTTGCGCATGCTCCGGCGCCACCACTCAGGCTCCCCAGCTTCACTCGGGGGAATCCCAGAACTGATCCCCAACCCGCCGCCCCCTGACCCTCGCCCCAGCGTCAGGCCCGGCTGGGGCGGAGCTTACAGCCCAGCTCTGGCGCCTTCTCCCAAGAGACATTAGCTTAGTCCAGCCCAGCCGGGCTGAGCCCCCGCCCCCAGCATGAGGTAGCTCCAGGCCCATCTGTGTCGCCCCCTCCCCCTTGGACACCTGGAGCCCGCCCCCTGCCACCTGCCGGGTCTCTCCGCAGGCCTTCCCAGATCTCCGAGAGCCCTTCCATGCATTCAGGCCTTTCCCCAGATTATTTCCCACCCCCACGACTGCACAGAGCCTCCCTGGACGAACAGCCCTCCACCTCAGGACTCTCTTCACATGGTTCCTCCTGGAACTGCACACAACCCCTTCAAACTGGGCCCCCCATCCCACGAGAACCCCTCTTCTCAGCCAAGAGCCTTTCCCTCACTCCGTAACCATGCTCTTCACGCGGGAGCCCCCCAGTCTTTGGAGAACGCACCGTCCCAGTCCCGGGGGGCCCTTACCTGCTCCCGAGGGTCCCGCTTCCATCCCATATACCCGTGCAGAGGTCAGGCGGCCCAGAGACTGTGGAGTCCAGCGTGAGGGGCCTAGGGACCCCGCACTCTCGCCGCTTGGGCTCCCGGGCCGGGCTCGGCTCCCCC